AGGCCTCGAGTCTCCCATACAACCGGTCGCCACCTATCTGAGAAGCGAAACAGAGAAAGGGTTTAGGGTTTAGGGTTTTAGGGTTTAGGGTTTGGCTCCATCCAGAACACCATCAACGGAGGGTGTATCCGCAGATCGAGGGTTTACGGTTTCGCTCTTAAGGTGCATACGCACAACCCCTGTCTAGGGTTTACAGTCTAGGGTTTAGGGTTTAGGGTTTACCAATCTTAAGAATATTCACCACAGCGTCCAACCTCCCCGCCTCAGAGACGGGGAAGCGACCGCCAATTAAACTCTGCACGAAGTACTGCACTTCATCATCAGAAAACCGCATAGTCCGCGACCGACTGCAGCACAAACCCTAAACCCTAAACCCTAAACCCTAATGTCTTGAAGAGGAGGAGTGTGTTGCCTAGGGCTTGTCGGTTATGTGCAGGGTTTGTTTTATCCTCGTTTGTTTTCGCGTTGTGCACACATAGACCCATGGTTGTTTTGCCGCTTCGAGGGTTTAGGGTTTAGGGTTTAGGGTTTGTACCTCAGCGATTGCATCTGCCCTCTGCTCCGCATCAAGCGCATGCAGCCCCGACAAAGCAGCAGCCATCCCTTTCTTAATTAGGCCTGCTCGTTCTAATAGGCTCCACTCAGGCTGTCGCTGCATAACTAGCTCTTGCTTCACCTGCGCAAACCCTAAACCCTAAACCCTAAACCCTAAACCCTAAACCCTAGGGGGAAAGAAACCCGTGGAAGGCACTAGTTCAATGCATTTTGCAGCAGCAGCAACACGAAATGCAACAGCAGCACAAACAGCAGCAGCAAAAAACAAAAGTAGAAGACACAATAACGGCAGCAGCAGCACTTATAACAGCTGCTGCAGCAGTAGAAGCAGCAACAGCATAAATAGCAGCAGCAGCAGCAGTATGAACAGCAGCAATCCCCGCAAAATGAGTAGGAGAGGCAGCAGCAGCAATTGCGGCAGCAGCAACACCAGAAAGAGCAGCAGTTACAGCAGCATCAGCATCAC